GTCGGGACAAAGAGTTCTCCTCCCTGGCACTGAGGCTGCCAGAGTGAGTCCTCATGCCCTTTGGGCAGTGGGGAAGTTCCTGGCAAAAACAAGAGGTGTAGGTGACAACGCGCTGTGAAAGAGGATGTTCTTCCCTCCCTGAGGTGAGAAGGCAGGTCCTCAGGCTGTGGTGGGGAGAGGGCAGAGGGAGAGGTGAAGAAAGCAGAGAGTATAGGGCTGGTGGGTCTTTGAGAAGGTGCTCTGTCCTGTGCCCCATAGACCTAACCCAGTGGGTCGGGAAACCACAGATCCTCAAACAGCGTTGTTGGATCTGAAAGCAGAGAGTCCCTGAGATGTGCTTCCTGGGAAGAGCTTGGAGACCGGAACAGAGTCTAGAGCAACGCAGTGACAGGATGGGTCTGGGTAGAAGAAGCCTTAGACTGCTTTGCAGAGTTTCCAGTCTCCCCTGGTGGCACGAGGGACTCAGGGACACATGGTGTCAGCCTTGTAGCAGAGGCAGTAGCCTCCCCAGCCATGGCCCTTGGGCTATACTTTGTCTACGACCAGCTGCCGGCACCCAGGTTCTCTTGTCAAGAGGATTTCTCTGGTTGCCAAAGCCAGCGCTGCCCACGCACCGTGGCAGGCCAGAGTGTCGGGAAACCGATGCCCCAGCAAGCCTAACCTAGCGACTCGACTGGTGTCTGTACACCCCAGCTCCCTGGCCCGTCATGTGGATAGCTCTGAGATGCACGCATGTTCAACACTGTTTTCCAGGCCTCCCCTGGGAGATGAAGCTCCGGCTGCCCGCAGGTAACGTGCTTGATAACAACTGTTGGCTTCCCTTGCTGTCTCACACCCTACCGGTTTTGGGATCACTTCCAAATAAACTAGCTTGTGTGTCTAACACTAATACAAATTCAAAGACACTCTTGGAAAGGAACAGAGCATGGCGTGGCGGGAAACCCACGGGACTGACGACAGGGTGGGAGCAGAGCTCCCCACTGTTTTCTCACAGACAGATAGTGACCAGGACCAGCTGCACTCCCTTTCCCAGAGTTTGCATCTCACAAGCCCGCCTCCCCTCAAAAAGTTCTTCAGAAACACCAGGGAGAAAGGGAATGGGGCGGGGGGGGGCCGGTGGGGGGACTTGTGCTTTAAATTAATTTGTTGAAAGAAAAAGATTTCACCTTTTTCATCTGATTTTGTGGGTGTGTCCTCAATCTATGTCCCTCTCCTCTTTCTCTTTTAGCTGCTCGAGGACAGGAATGGGCTTGTCCAGTCTGTGGCCTCCATACTAGTATCTCCCAAGGGAGTGGCTTGTTAGCCATTCAGTCCACCTGGCCATGTGGCAAGGGATGTTGATGGCCTTATGGAGGAGCTGACAAGGAAGTGGGACCTCACCCTGCAATGGCAAAGAAATGAGTTCTGCAACAACCTGAATAAGCTTGTAAGTGGGTTTTTCCCAAAGTCTTCAGATAAGAACTCAGGCCAGTCAACACTTGCTTTTGGCATTGGGAGACCCTGAGCGGAGGAGCCAGGCAAGTCCACCCAAAACTGGCCTACAGAATGGTAAGATAATAAAATTAGGGCTGTTTTAAGCCACTAAGTTCAGTTAATTGTTATAGCAGCAACAGGAAACTAATACATAGGTGTAAGGGCCAGTGAGGCACTGTTTGTGGCAACTTTGATTAAAATGTTGAAAGGTAAGCTCTATAGAATTGCCTTTCTGTTTCTGTCCACCTACAAGCATGTCAGTCAGTCTTGGAGAACTTTCTATTAGGATGACTTGTTAAGAATTGTGAATGAATGAAGAAGCTGATTCCTTTTGTATCTTAAGGGAGTATGTAGAGGCTATGTAGCCAGGGTGGCTTTGGCGTGATCTGGAGGTGAGTGGGATGAGGTGACCTCTGGGATGGCCTTTGCATCACAGAGCTGAGTGGCTCTTTGCCCCCTTGATTGACTGCCCTGTGGCTGTTGGCAGTTGGAGACCCTGGGATCTGTCAGGAAAGCCAGGTTGTATGGCCACACACAACATCCATGAGCACATTTGACGCTGCTCTGTCCAGGTGGTATGACGGGGCACCAGGGTTTAGCTTCAGGTTTACCAAAGCATTTTGTCCTCTTCATCCAAGCAAAGGGTACTTGAAACTCGGGGTTGGAATTTGCTTCTCCTCGTCAATTAAACTTTTATGTTTCAATAAACTTCAAGCTCATGGTAGCTATAGCTGCCAACTGGAGCTGTTCATATGTGTCCTGGGGGTTGTGGCAGGGATAGGAGTCCACACTTTGATCTCTACGATGAGGGTAAATAGCACTTTTCAGTCCCCAAATGGAGGAAGTGGGCACTGGTTTCCTGCCTTAATCACAGAGCTTATGGAATCTACTTCTTGTCTGGGAGGGAAGCCTTGTACTCTGGCTTGACTTTCATGTCTCTCGCTGGTCAATATAGAAAGACCGCGAACTGGGAAGTGACCAAATGTTCTCCTTTCTAGTATGGAAAATTTCAAACACATATAAAAGCAGAAGAGGATGGCCAGGGAACTCCCAAGTGCCCAACACTCAGCTTCAGTAACGATCAGCTCACAGCGTCCTGTTCATCTGTACCCACACCTACTCCCCACCTTCCATGTTATTCTAAAGCAAATTCAAGACATCACATTATTTCATCCACAAATATTAAGTAAACATGCATCACTCTTATATTAATAATTAGAAATAAAAATTACCTGACTTAATCTGAAACTCTATACCCATACTGTCCAGGAGAAGCAGCAGAACAGGCTGGAAATAAAATGTAACTGTTATTCTTTGGGGATTTGGAGAGAAATGTGTTCTCTGCCACGGTTGTTAACAATGTTTATTCCAAGGGAAAGACTCTCACAGTGGGATTTCTGATATCCACCGGATGGGCTGTCCTGGGGCAGGGGATTGGGGAATACAGTGAACCCGTATGCCAAATCCCTTAGTAAGTACAGGGGAAATGATTTGAATTATGTCTCAGGAGTTCACCAACCTCTCTCGCCTAATCAAACAATGGAAGTTTTAGGATTCCCGTGGTACAGCGTGCCATCGCCCTCATGAACTGTGCTCATTAAATGTCTGTTGGACTCACAGCCCTACCTTCTGTTGCCTACTGGGATCTCTCTTTGACTTCATCTCAGGCATGAATTTTTCTCCTGCCTTGTTCATTTGGATTAGAAACCCCAGGATGTTCAACTGGGCTTACATGTTCCCTTCCTTTCTCGAAACAATACAAATGTTTTGGAGGAATTCTGGGTGCATTAGATGATCAATTTCAGTTTCCATGTAAGACACGGAAGGCTCACCTCGGCTTACAGCTGACTCCCGGAGATGGTCTGGCTCACGGCTGATCTCTGCAGAGTGGAAAAGACCTTCCTGGCAGCTGGCATTTAAGCACAGTTCCCGCCCTTGTCCTGCTCCGAACTCAGCACAAGTCAAAACTCACAGGAGCGCGACCTTGACTAAGGGTCTGGGTTTCTCCTCTTGCAGAGGCTGGTGCTCACAAAACCCTACAAAGTGAGATCGGGACTGAGCTTGGGAGGCGGGGACAGGATGGCACAAGTGCTTTCTTCTTGTTTTCTTTGGCGGGGAGAGAAAAGACCACGATGAGTATGTGTTGTATCTGGCCTGGGTGCTTCCTGTGGCCTCCTTGGGTTAATGGAGAAAAGCTATTAAATGCTGTCTACCAGGTACACTCTGTTTTCCTTGCAAATACAAATGTAAACGACTCTTGCACAGACAGCTTTAATGGCTGAGTAAACGTTTGACCTTCCGTAAGAGTCCAGAATTGAGGTCTCGGCATCATATGACAAACCATGCATATGACAAGTTAAGAGGTGACAAGTGAAGACATATGAGATCCTTTGCACAAGAGGGGAGTCGCAGGGTGGGGAGCTGACAATTTGCTGTCTGCCTTCGAGGCTCGTGTGTGTGCCTTTTGACCTGGGCATGAGGGTTAGCTGCAGAAGCAGCCTGCAGTGGAGAGATCTGAAAGGAAAGATACTGCAGGTGGAAGGAAAGACTAGCTCGGTGGAAGCGGATCCTACTCTTTGGCAAGGAGGGCTAAGAGGTTTTGAGAGCGAAGAGACAGGGGAAGGAAGAGACTGAAGGCTGTTTGGGTGTTTTCCCAGAGACTCCTCCTCAGTTGCTCTTGGGGGTTGTACCGTGATACTCACCGACTGTGATGCTGATGGAAGCCCGACACCTGAGACGTAGTTGGGTTGCAGACACTCTGATGGCTTGCCCTTCACGAAGAAGAGAGGCGAAAGCAAAATGTCTCCCTGGGAGACTATGGAACCGTTTTCACTAAGAAATGAACTGTGGCTTTTGGCTGGAAGAGTAGACTCTTGATGAAGAGTGGGGCATGGGTCGGCTGCCTCTCATCCACCTCCTGGACCTGGATCCAGGATCATCCAGCATCTTCCCAGCAACACGGAGACTGGGCCCTGCAGGGAACCCCTGATCCTCTGCAGCTGGCTTGCCCAGCCCGTGTTGAGCGTAGCATGGATGGAGCCTGCTATGCTGAGACATGGTGCGCCGTGCAGACAGGAAGGGGAGGTGTGGGAGTAGAGCAATGAGGGACCAAGGCACATGTCAGCAAGTCCTCCATCCCTTCAGTCCTGGGGACTTGGCGGGCCAGCTAGAGTTTCCTGGCATTTGGTTCTGAAGTAGGTAAGGCCAGCTGGCTCCAGAAAGTTTTGTAAAGCTTATGTCAGACTGTGTCTTGGGGTCTTGTTTGCTGCCTGGGAGGTGACAGTGCTGGCTGGCTGAGTCCCAGCAGTACCCTTGGGGGCCCTTGTGGAGGTGCTGGACTCTGATAGGATCTTTCAAGCCAGTAAAGAGCCGGGACAGAGGTAGAGCTGGGGATGGAGAGCGGAGTGGGTTTAACAGCCAGAGCTGGGCTCCAGGGTGTACGCTAGTCATCAGCCCTTGCGGGAAAGAATTCTCACTGACCTGGACGACAGACAGGGAGTGTTCCTTCTTTCCCTCCCACTGTGAAATGTTCTGCATGAACCTTAGGCCCTCCCTAGGGGAGCTCTTCCATATGGGGTGTGAGACATGCTTTGAAAAGGCATTCATGACCCAGCACCCCCTACAAAGCCTCCTTCTCTGGAAACAAAAAATGCTCTAAAGCCCAAATTTCATGCAAGCACTTAAGAAGGCAGTCTTTCTGCCTCTTTGCATTAATATCATTTTAACACCTTCCATTCCAGGCCTGGCTTTTGGGAAAGGAGCTTGGGGTTTGCCTCTGAAGACACACAGCTGTTTCCTGTGATGTTTTTGCACACTTGATGCCCATTGCTTAGAGCTTAAGGGTCATTTGCACTTGAGGATTCTTCTCCTTTGGAGCAAAGGGATCTTTTCCCAAAGGCCTCCCACTTCCTCTAATGCTACCGGGAATGAGAACACCTAAGGCAACCAACGGTGAATCAAACAGCATCCCCAGCCAGCGTAAGCAGCAGCTGTCTGCCTTCTCTACCCTGAGAGATCAACACCCACTAGTTCTGAGAGTGGCTGACCTCCACTCAATGCTCATCACGCGTCACGCATGCTTCTAAGTGCTTAGCATGTCATATCTCACTTAACCCTCATAGCAATAACCACTTGAGGTACTATTACATACGTTCCTGTTCTGCAGAGGAAGAAACTGAGGCTTAGAGAGACTGTAACACACACAGGGCTGTGCCGCAAGGGAGCAGAGATTCCAACCTAGGCTCTTCTTGCTTCTCTCCCCACCTAAGCAAACTTTGGTTTTGTTTTGTGGACTCACAAGCTAAGCGTCGTCTGGGGAGGGGTATCAGTGGGCAGATGGGGAGGGGTGTAGGGCTCAAGGGTACTCGGGGAGGGGGGGGTAGAACTAGATTCTGCCTGCAAGGCCCTTGGGGCTCTGGAACCAAAGAACTCAGAACAAGCCACATCACAGCTGTGCGTTTGTCCATAATTTCCCACTGTTAACACCCCCTGGACCCGCCACTGACCTACCTCTAGCAATGACGTACGTGGTGGCTCTGAGCATCTTCACCCAGCATTCGCTCTGTGCCAGGCCCAGCTCTCAGGGCTGAGCCTAGAGATGAAAAAGACACAGCCATGACTACTGGTGACGCCAAGACCTGTGCACCGGTGATTAAATCCTGCTTGTGATGGGAGGGAAAGGAGGGTTGGGGTAAAAGGTGCTGCAGTTGCTGCTGAAGCCGAGGGCAAATCTGACCAAGCTCATCAAACTTTAACCTGCCTCACCTGCTTTTAGCAATCCTTAAAAATAGCTAACCATCCCAATGTCATGCCGCTAAGCAATATACTACCCGATTCCCATTAGCTTCCCTGTAGATAACATCTCCGGCTGTGGGTTATGATGGTAACAGTTGCCCAAGTTGTTTTTTTAGGAGCTTAGAGTCAGCTGCTTGTCCAGTTCAAACCAGCTGAGACTACTGACCCATCAACGGGGCCTGCGCCAATTGCCCAGGTTAACCTTTCAACGTCAGAGGGCTGCGAGCTCCTCCCTCAGAGCAGATTAACACCAGTTTTTGAACCTGAATCCTGCAAAGAGCCACGAAGATGGACTTTGCTTGCACAAATGACTGATTGTACCTCACTTTTTCTCATCTCCAATTACCTTTCCCCATGCCTCAGACCCTTCTTTATCCCATAAATATCCCCAAACCCCATCTTTGGGGAGGCAGATTTGAGACCTGTTCTCCCATCTCCTTGCTTGGCTGCCACGTGAATAAACCCTTTCTCTGCTTACAAAATTCACCATCTCAATGATGGCTGAGCCATGTGATAGATGCTATACTTTAACATTTTGATCTTTTATTCATTATGTATTTTTTGCATTGATTTTTATTTTTAAAATATTGCATTAAAACAATATAACTTATCTTGATTGCTGAGTTTTGAGGCACACCCTGAAATGTTGTGCCTTACTTGTCTCACCCTAATCCTGGCCCAACAGGGAGGTCTCGAGACCCTTTATTTGGCTGGAAAGAAAAGAGTGATCCATGAAACAGTGGTTCATGGGGAAGGGCAGATACCTGGGTGATAGACACCCTTGCAGAATACCTTCAGAGACCCTGCATCACCACAGACAAAAAAAAAAAAATGTCTCTCCTCCTGCCCATTAGCGCCCCCAGCTGGGGACAAGCCCCAACTTCACACATCACTGCAGGCAGCGATTCTGGGGCCTCACTGGGACTCTGGACCCAGATGGTGGGCACAGAGCCAAGGTGCCCACTGGTCCAAGAGGGAAATGTTTGGGGGGCCGCAAGATGATTTGATTTTGTCTCAATGATAACTTTCTTTGGATCTCTTTCCCTGACTTCACTGCACATTTCAAAACAACATCCTTTTATGAACAAGCACTAGCACATCAAATACTTCCACACCCTATGCTAGAAGTGCTTCAGGCCATGTCATTCTTTTTCTTTTAAAGGGTTCCATGTAAAATCACATGTTAACTTTCTCTGAATAAACCCAAGTGGAAGGGCTTTTTTTCCCTTTAATAAAGAATATGTGTCCCTTACCAAACAGTATACAATAGTTTAGAAGAAAAACACTAAGTTGTTACATATGTAACAAACAGTTCTTATTTATTAATGGTGAGAAAAATGAATAACAAAGCTTCCAGGGAAACTACAACAAGAAATATATTAGCAAGAAGAATGATTTATTTATTTGAATGAGGTCTATTTCTTTTATTTTTTTAAGATGCAATTATACTTTATTTTTTTCCATTTTTTTATTTCAGCATATTATGGGGGTACAAATGTTAAGGTTACGTATATTGCCCATGCTCCCCCTTCCCCCTCGAGTCAGAGCTTCAAGCGTGACCATCCCCCAAATGTTGCACATCTCATTCATTATGTTTGTATATACCCATCCCCTTTCCCCCTCCCACCGCCCAACACCCGATAAATGTTATTCCTATATGTCCACTTAGGTGCTGATCCGTTAATACCAATTTGCTGGTGAGTACATGTGGTGCTTGTTTTTCCATTCTTGAGATACTTCACTTAGTAGAATGGGTTCCAGCTCTATCCAGGAATATACAAGAGGTGCTATATCACCATTGTTTCTAAGCAGAGTAGTACTCCATGGTATACATATACCACATTTATAATCCACTCATGTATTGAAGGGCAGCTGGGTTGTTTCCACACCTTTGCGATTGTGAACTCTGCTGCTATAAACATTCAAGTGCAGGTGTCCCATTTGTAGAGTGTCATTTGATCTTTTGGGTAGATGCCCAGTAGTGGAATTGCTGGATCAAATGGTAGATCTACTTGTATCACTTTGAGGTATCTCCATATTGCTTTCCACAGAGGCTGAACTAGTTTGTAGTCCCACCAGCAGTGTAGGAGTGTTCTATCTCTCCGCATCCATGCCAACATTTATTGTTTGGGGACTTTTTTTTTTTTTGAGACAGAGTTCGCTTTCTTGCCTAGGCTAGAGTGAGTGCCGTGGTGTCAGCCTCGCTCACAGCAACCTCAAACTCCTGGGCTCAAGAGATCCTCCTGCCTCAGCCTCCCAAGTAGCTGGGACTACAGGCATGCGCCACCATGCCGGCTGATTTTTATATTATATACATTAGTTGGCCAATTAATTTCTTTCTATTTTTATGGTAGAGACGGGGTCTCGCTCAGGCTGGTTTTGAACTCCTGACCTCGAGCAATCCGCCCGCCTCGGCCTCCCAGAGTGCTAGGATTACAGGCGTGAGCCACCCGCCGCCTTATTGTTTGGGGACTTTTTGATAAAGGCCATTCTTACTGGAGATAAGTGATACAGAGATGTTGAGCATTTTTTCATATGTTTGTTGGCCTTTATTCTGTCTTCTTTTGAAAAATTTCTGTTCATGTTCTTTGCCCACTTTTTGATAGGGTTGTTTGATTTTTTCTTGCTGATTTTCCTGAGTTCTAAATAAATTCTAGTTATCAGCCCTTTATCAGGTGTGTAGCTTGCAAAAATTTTCCCATTCTGTGGGTTGTCTGTTTGCTCTCTTGACAGTTTCTTTGGCTGTGCAGAAGTTTTTTAATTTGATCAGGTCCCATTTGTTTATTTTGTTGCTGCTGTGATTGCCTTTGGGGTCTTCTTCATAAATTCTTTGCCTAGGCCAATGTCTAGAAGAGTATTTCCAACGTTTTCCTCTAGAATTCTAATAGTTTCACACCTAAGGTTCAAGTTTGTTACCCAGCATGAGTTGATTTTTGTGAGAGGTGAAAGGTGTGGGTCTTGTTTCAGTCTTCTACATGTGGTTATCCAGTTTTCCCAGCATCATTTATTGAATAAGGATTCTTTTCCTCAGTGTATGTTTTTGTGTGCTTTGTCGAAGATTAGTTGGCTATATGAGGATGGTTTTATATCTGGGTTCTCTGTTCTGTTCCACTGGTCAATGTCCCTGTTCTTGTGACAGTCCCAAGCTGTTTTAATGACTATAGCCTTGTAGTATAGTTTGAAGTCTGGTAAATTGATACCTCCTATTTTGTTTTATTGCCTAGGATTGATTTTGCTATACGGGGTCTTCTCTTGTTCCATATGAAGTGTAAAATTACTTTTTCTGTATCTGTGAAAAATTATGGTATTTTAATAGGGATTTCATTGACTCTGTAGGTCACTTTGGGTAGTATAGACATTTTAACGATGTTGATTCTGCCGACCCATGAGCATGGTATGTTCTTCCACCTGTTTACATCCTCTTAGGCACTTACTTTGATTAATTGTACAGCTTCTTGTTTGAGATATAATAAGCTACAGTTTTGATTTGAAATAAGACATTTCTTATTTAATGACCCAATATAAGTATGGTCAATAATGTAAAGAAAATATGCTTATAATGAATGAGCAAACAGGAAATCTCAGCATAGAAATAGATGATTAAAGATTAAATAAAATATAAAAAGAACAAGTGAGGCCAGGCGTGGTGGCTCACACCTGTAATCCTAGCACTCTGGGAAGCCGAGGCAGGAGGATCACTTGAGGTCAGGAGTTTGAGACCAGCCTGAGCAAGGGAGAGACCCCCATCTCTACTAAAAATAGAAAGAAATTAATTGGTCAACTAAAAACATATAGAAAAAATTAGCTGGGCATGGTGGCGCATGCCTGTAGTCCCAGCTACTTGGGAGGCTGAGGCAGAAGGATTGCTTGAGCCCAGGAGTTTGAGGTTGCTGTGAGTTTGAGGTTGCTCAAACCTGGGCAACAGAGTGAGACTCTGTTTCAAAATAATAATAATAATAATAATAATAATAATAAAATAATAATAATAATAAAAGAACCAAGTGAAAATTTTAGAACCAGAGAATAAAATGTATGAAATGAAAAATGCACAGCTAATCACAGATAACAAAAGAGTTAGTGAAATTAAAGACGCATCAGTGGAAACTACCTAATCTAAAGAGCATAGAGAAAATGAACAGAGCCTGAGTGACCTGTGGGAAAACATGGCAAGGTCTGCATGTTCACATAATTGGAATTCTAAAATGATAGGAGATAAAATGAAGCCAAAAAAAAATATCTGAAGAAACCAAAAACGCTAAGTACAAAGTAAACCATAGTTAGACATGTTACAGTCAAACTGCTGAAAATGAAAGATAAAGAGAAAATCTTAAGCAGCCAAAGAGAAATGATATATTCATATAGGGGAATAATGCTATAAATGACCTTAACTTTTTGGGAAAAAAGGAGGCAATGAGACACATCTTTAAAATGCTGAGAGGCAAAAAAACCTGTCAACTCATAATTCTATATACACATACACACACACAAACCCTTCAAATGAGAGGCATAATGAAAATATTTTCCATAAATAAAAGATAAGATTTGTCACTACAGAGCTGCATTGCAAAGAATTCTAAAGAAAGTTCTTCAGGGATGTGGTGGCTCATACCTGTAGTCTTAGCACTCTGGGATGCTGAGGTGGGGGGAATTGCTTGAGACCAGGAGTCTGAGACCAGCATGAGCAACATAGTGAGACCCTGTCTCTACAGAAATTACAAAAATTAGCTGGGCATAGCAGTGCACACCTGTGGCTCCAGTTACTCAGGAGGCTGGGGCAGGAGGATTGCTTAAGCCCAC